TCTGTCAAGTCCAGCAGTGAGAATGCCAGCAACCATCCAGTTGGATATTGACCATGGCCCCCTTCTGTCTTAGGACATCTGGAAACATCCTTTCTGCACTACAGTGCAAATAAATGGAGGGGTCTGGTGAACATAGAATTTTTTAAATCAAAGTTTTATTGATACCTTTTATTTTTATATCACAATCATTTTTAGATGTATCTTCTCCCCCTTCTCACTCACTAAGTTTTCTCTTTTAATAAAGGAAAACTGATACTTTTGTCACATTTGACAAAATATGTGACATTCCACACTCAGTTCCCTTCCCTCAACAACAGAAGGGTGGTATATATCTTCATTTCTTTTCTGGGGCCAAGATTGGTCACTGTAAGGATGTAGAGTTAAATTATATCTGGTTCTTTTAATTTACATTGTTAGAATCATTGTTTATATTTTCTTGGCTGTCCTTTCTGTATCATTTCATATGGATTTCCACATTTCTCCGAATTCTTCATATTTATCATTACTTATGGCACAAAATATTCTATTATATTCACATGCCAAATTTTATTTAGTCATTTTGTAGTCTATGGACATTTGCTTTGTTTCAAGTTTTTTGCTATGTCAAAAATTTCTGCTGGAATATATGGCATGCTATCTCTCTCTCCCTCTCTATCTCTTTTTCCCCTCTTTCTTCTCCTCCCTCCTTGGGATATTTGCCTAAGAGTGAGAGATGTCTGATTCAAAGGCCAGGAATAATCATTAACTCTTTTTTACATAATTGTAAATGATTTTCCAGAATGTTTGGGCCATTTCACAGCTCTGCCACTAGCATATTAGTGTGCCTTTCTTCCCATAACTCCTCCAACATTGACGATTTCCATGGTTTGTCATCTTTGCCAATTTCTGAATGTGAGATGAAGCTTCAGAATTCTTTTAATTTTCATTTCTCTTATTAGTGATTTGGAGCAATCTTTTATAAGGATATTAATAATTTATAATTCTTTTGAAAACTTTGTTCATATTATTTGATCAAGTTCTTATCTATTTGGGGAAGGACTCTTGTTAATATCTATGTGTCTTAGTTATCAGAACTTTATCAAAGATATTTGATGCAGAGTGGTTTTTCCCCCAACTGAGTTTCGCTTCTTTTCCTAGCTATATTGATTTCTTCATGCAGAAGCTATTAATTTTATATAATTGCAGTTGTATATTTTATCATTTGTGGTCTATTCTATCCCTTGTTTGTTCTCTCCTGACTGTGAAAGGTAGCTGTTATTATATGTTTTAGAGCTGAAAGGAACTGGAAAGATTATTTTACAGATGAGACCCGAGGAGGTAAAGTAACTTGCATTGGTTTATGCAGTTGTAAGTATTAGAAATAGGATTCAAACACAAGTCCTTGGATTTCAAATTCATGGCTCTTTCAAATACCCCACAATGTCTAACATCAGTTCTTTTGTCTTTTCTGTATCATTGCTTCTTTCCATTGGTACTGATGAGAGAAGGCTTATTATTTCAGAGTAATATAATATCATCTAAGCAATGGCAAAGATTCTTAGATTTAGAGAATTACTTAAGATCAGAAGATATTTTAGTGGTTTATATGTAGTTCACCCAGTGATTATAGACAACCCAAAATATTCAAAATAGTTCATATCCCATTACAGATAATTCCAAGGAGATATCCAAATTATTTTATTGTACTAGAATTTTGTTATAACAAATGTTGCTCTGTTAAGTTGGCCTTACCTGCGTCCTGACATTATTTTAGTCATATAGAGACTAGAGTATACTAGTATTCATTATGTTCAAGTATTTAGTGTTCAAGTTTTGAGTAGTAGCTGTACTTTTCAAAATAATTTATTCATAGCTCTATGTAATATCCTATGCCAAAGCCTATTGCAATGCTCCATGGTAGTATGTAGATGTTCCTGGGTTCCCAAAGGCTATGCCAATCGAGTGCAAATATTGACAGTTCTTACCAAGATGGAAAAGCTTTGAGTATGAGCCTAGAAATAGCCATTTATGTGTATCTTCAGAAGATCATCCTTCCTAAATTTGGAGAGACTTAATCAACAGATTAGCTTCAGGGTCATGAATTTATTTGGCTACAGCAGCTCACAGAGGCCATATCCATTAAGTCCCCAAAGGGTCTTGATATGCATCAGTGGAAGAATTACCCATCCAAAACAGTTGCAGATCTTTAAAGTATTGACATTTATGCTTCTATATGAAGCTTAATGATTCATGAATTTGGAACGATTCAAAAACTGTCTTATAATTATCACATATAACAAAATGGTATGTTTTCTGATATGTGAACAAAAAATACTCAAATATTCAAATGAATCTGTGATCTCACAAATTCAGGAGTTCCCTCCAACAACGTAGATGGTAATCCATTCATGCCTGCTTTTCCTTGTGCAATTATTGTCCACATTCTCCCAAAAATTCACCATAGGTAGCCCACCTAAAATACTGGAGGTTCTCCATTCTTTCTCCTAACATCACCAGGGTATCATTGGAGCACTCTGGTTATTCCTCTATCATTCTTCCCTCTTGTCAGGAGACCAGCTCACTTTCTCTTTCTGTCATGCAATTCGTGATACTGCCTTTTACTCCTTCAGAGTTCTTTATTTATAATATATTGTAGCTTGCTCACACCTACCATATACCTCTGCGTCATCCTCTATATGATGCTCATCTTTAGTTCATTGGAGACAGTAGTATTTCAGGTGTCACATATATATAGCAAGACTAATAAAATGTTTAATTGAAAAGATGGGCCTTTGCTTTCATGGATAACTTGAATTCAGTAAAAGAATTTTTCAGTTTCCCAAAAGCAAGCCAGCCTGTTATCTTTCACCTTTTCAATTGTGCCCAACTCTTGTCCAACTGTATTCACTATCCCAACTATGCATATTGAAATCTTCATCTATTTGGTCTTTCCTGTGTGTATGAACAAGCCATATTCTTTCAAGTTATTAAAGATCTCTTTCAGCAGATCTCTGCAGCATCTTGGGGCTTAATGCAATTAGCACAATGCCATCTGCAAATAAGACCTTCTGGAGGACCTCACCATGCACAGAGATGTTTTATGCCTCTTAGTGATACTTATTGTCAGAGGGAGACAAAAAAGATTAGTTTTGCTGCTACATCTTCCAAAGAATCCTAAGTTATCTTGATGTATGAATGGGAGACACCTTGTTATAAAAGAGCTTGTCACAAGAATAAGTTATTAAAAAATGTTTCCTTGTTCAATTCGTCATCCTCTCCTAAACCTCTTCTATGTACTATGAACAAGTCATTATTAGCTAAAATGTGAAGATTCATTTTTAAAAGTCAGAAATGTGTTGAGGAATGTGATAAGACTATCATTATTTTAGTAGCACATTGTATTAACTCCCAATCATGAAACCTGGTTTGAGAGTCAAAAACCATTCAAAAATGTTTAAAGCTCATGTTCGTGAATGACATATTGAAATTCTCCTATTAGAAGAAATTCTGAATTTCTTTTTCTCTCAAAGAAAGTTTTCAGCGGCAAATGTTTCTGTTAATTTCATTGCTGGTATAATTCTGCATTAGTCGTTTTGTCATTTCTTCCAGTTAGGTGTGTAAATACAATTATCTCATTTCCAATAAAATAGAAGCTCCTTGAGGTCAAGGACTTCATGTCTTTATATTCATATCCCCTAGCATAGTGCAGCCTAGAACATAGTAGATAGACACTTGATATAAATATATAAATTATAAATTATAAAAATATAAATTATTGAATTTAATTGAATTAAAAACCATGTAGTGGTTAAAGGGTAGTGAAATATAGCATAAATGAATTATTCACTGTTCTAAATAAATATTTCTGTAATTATTTTATATATAAATGTTCTGGCCACCTAACTTTATGAATCCTAAGCATATAGAATGAGAATCTTATATATCATCTAGTCCACTGCCCCAGACTTCCATCAAATGTATTGTATTCACTTTAAATAGTGGTCTTTTGTGAAATGTCAATGTTGGTGATGTTTCACTCTCCAAATAAGGAGTTCTTAGCCTTTTGTGTTATGGACCCCTTTGGCAGTTTGGTAATGCATATGGACTCATTTTCAGGAAAAAAAAATAATGCATAAAATAAAATATATAGAATTACCAAGGAATCATTTATATTGAAGTAACAGTTATCAAAACACTTTAAAAACATTCACAAACCTTAGGTTAAGAACTCAGCTCTAACTACTAAACAAAGCAATTGTTTCTAAAAAGGCATATTACACATTCAGTTTATGTATGAAAATAAAATAGACTGAACTTTTTCTATTTTGCCCCAAAGTTTCTCCAGGTTCCCTTTATCTCAGAAGGTATTCCACATGCTCAGGACCGTAGGCTGATATTTATGAATTAGACCAATGTACTTCAAACCCCTTACTGTTCTGTGTCCAAATGAGTTTAAACCCCTTAGTGTTCTGTGCCCAGGTTAGTTTGGAAAATGCTGATTTTTTCAGTTGCTTATATTTATATGAGTAAACTAATGACAGGAAATTTAGTAATTTGTCCAAAGTCATAGGGTTATTAAGTGATAAACAGTCTTCTAGTTCTTAGTCCATTGCTCCATGATGCTACATTGTCTCAGTTCAACTCAATTCAATGTAACAAGTGTTCTTTGAATGCCTTCTGTGAACTCATTGCTGTCAGGCCCTTCTAAAGAAAAGCAGAATGTTTCAATAAAACGTACAGTTTAAATATTGTTAAGATATTTATTAATGCCCTTTAAAATTGAAACTTTGTATTATTGTGTGACAAAGACAAGTTCATAGTTATGATTTACAAATATTGCTGTAATTCCTATTTGGGTAAAAAAAAAAAGAGAGATGAGAAATTCCACAGTACAGTGGGACTCATATCTTGAAGCAGTTGGTGCTTTGAGGGATAATCAAAGGAGTCGTCTTTAGGATATCATTTTTAAAATAGCTTGAGTTCCAAGACAAATGAAGTATCTGATGTACTTATCTTTTCAGTGCTCTTGGAGGTTCCTCAGCTCTTCACATCCCAGCTTTTCCAGGAGGAGGATGTCTAATTGATTATGTTCCCCAAGTATGCCAGCTACTAACCAACAAGGTAAGTGAATACCACTTCCTCTTCTGTCTTGTGAACTACTCTCTAGGGGACTCTGTTTCTCCCCCACCTTGCTAGCCCTCAAGACGCCTCAGCCTTCTCCCATCTTTCCAGTTCAGGTTTTTCTTCACTGTCTTTTGTTAATTGTAACTATACTTCATGAGCATCTATCCTCTTCTCGTGAGCAGGCATTTACCCTTTGATACTACTTTCTTCTCCTCTGCAGACTTGGTTATCCAGTTCTCTTTCATTTTGTTGTTGCCATCTCCTGTTTTCATTTACCACTGAGCTGCAAATCATGACCACATTGTGTAATTCTCACCAGATCTTGACCTTTTTTAAATTTCATAATTCAGAGATCTTCCTCATTTCATCAGGGTTATTTATATCCCTAGGTCTTCATTTTTGGGGCTTTTCACCACTATCCAATGTTCACTGCTAATTTCCAACTGACATTTTTTGCACAAAACCTCTTCTTTATGCTTTTCTTTTACTTCTCTAATGTCTGCTCTTTGATTCCCAAATATATCTACCTGAATTTTTACTGTTTTGTCCTCATGTTTTACATGTATCCATTTTTTTCCAATAAAAATCCACTGTTTTTATCCAATTATCTACAAGAAGTCTGAAAGCAGTTCTTTTCTATCCAGGGGTAGGGGCAATAGTGTTCCCCAAAGAGCTTAACTCATTCTCTCTATCTACATCAGTAGGCCTTTATTACGTAGGCAGATAATCAATACTTTGTTGTAATGATTAAACATGGTATCTAACTGTGTACTATCATTTTAAGAACATAAATATTAATGTCTCTTCATTACATTTTTCTGTAAGATCAGAATAATTAATCTGCATACAAATGTCAGATTCACTTTTTATTCTACATTAATTGTGATTCAATTTATCAGATTGTCCAAAGTGTTAATTTCTTCTTTGCTCTTATTGAATTGCTGTTGATGAATTTTTCTCATTGGCTTTGAAAGTAGACCTTTGGATTTCTTTTGTCATTCAAAAGATAGACCATCTCTAAATAGAAAACACTTCTTAAGGACAATAATATCTCAAAGATTTGAGTGGTTTTTTTTGAATGTCAGCATAACTCAGATTTGGCATCTGTGGGACTGGCATCTACTCTTGGGGTTTAATTCTCATGGCATGATTAGTTCTAATTAAGCCCAGTACCCATTGCCTTCATTCCTACTAGAAAATTGATGTGGGGACAAAATTCAAATTTGCACTCAGATGCCTTGCCTCAAATTTGTGTCACTGTGTTATATAGAAAAATGCAGATTTGGCCTCCAAGAACTGAGAATAAAGGCCTTTTTAAAGCTTTCCAATTAAGATTAATTTCTAGTCACACTTTTTACTCAAAAAATTATAAGACTATTTTCCCAGAAACACAAGAATCAGTCAGTTTTTCTTATCTGGTTCCATTTCATTAATTTTACTTGTCTTTTTAAATTATTTTTCCTTAGCTTTTCACAAACGAGGACAGTACATGGCAGCTTTTAGAAACAATGTCTTCAAATGAATTTCCATAATTATACTGGAATCTCTTTATAGCCAGTTTTGTTGTGGGTTTCTATTAAAATGATTTTCTGTTTTTAAAATCAAGTACACAGAGCTGTTTTCTTCCCTTTTTTAAACAAAACCACTTAAGCAAACTTATCATCTGTTTTCTTTTCCCAAAATAACATTTTTGATCCTACATTAAGCCTGCAAAGTAAGCAGTGTTTTTTATAAATTGCCACAAACCCTATTTTATAAATAGAATTGTTTTACTTTTTGAGGGTACAACATAACTATCAGTTCTGATTTTATCAATGTTACTTCAAATAATTTAGCATAAGCTTTAGCCATGGAAATCTTATATATTGGCCAATAGAAGAAAAATTTTTTGCTCTTTATCTCTCTGTTGCCTCCACAGTAAAGGCACGATAAAGAATGTGTTTCATTCTTAAAAAGCAATGTCTACTAATAACTGACCCCAGAATTAGAGAAATTTAGAGCTGGAAAGGGTAATTAGAGATCATCTTTGACTGCACAGCAGGAAAAGTTCAGAACTAAGTATTTTTTTCAGTGGACTGTTGTTCACTGATAGCAGGGAGACTTATAATGGGAAAGTGTTACTTATTTTATTTCACTTTTGCTTCTTTTTTCTTTTTCAGGTACAGTACGTCATTCAGGGATATCATAAAAGAAGAGAATACATTGCAGCTTTCTTGAGTCACTTTGGAACGTAAGTTTTCCTTTACTTAAAATTTTGCTTTCCTTTCATTTATCCATTCATTCATTCATTCAGCTAGCATTTGCTGAGCACCTGCTGTGTACAAGATACTTTCCTAGACACTGAAGAAGGATAAGATACCAAGAAGAACAAGACATGATTCCTGCTGTCAAAAAAATATATATATATATTATATATAATATATATATATATATATATGTATATACATCTGCGAATGAACAACTTAAAATGAAGTATGATAGAAAGTGCACTCCTTTCATTTTTGTTATTATATCCTCAGTGCTTAGCATAATGCCTAGCACATAAGTGCTTAATAGAAGATTGTTAAGAGAAGTCCAAAGGAGGGAGTAGTCATTTCATGCTACAAGTGCTAGGAAAACCTTCATGCCAGTAGTGAAATTTTAAGTAGACTTTAGAGGATATGTGGCCTGCTTTTAATCTCTTTTTAAGCAAAACTACTTATGCAAATTTATCATGTATTCTTTTGTAAAAATAACTTTTTAATTATTTGTGTATGTGCTTGAGTATGTGCGTGCAGGTGTGTAGGCCACAGTGTCAGGTGGCTGCATAGATCTCAAGGAAAGTCATTATAATAGAGACTTCGATAGTCCTGGCTGGCTCCTCCATAAAAGAAAAGATGTACAAATATATGTACTCACCACCTTGACTAAATAAGCTAAATTTAATTGTTTCTGTACAAATGTACTAGCATTTAGTATGATGTGTTTAATTTGCTATTATCCAGTCGCTTACTAGAACACAAGTTCAGGAACTCCCTTTGTAATGAAAGTATCAGTGTGAAATTTAGTATATTAAAGTGAATTTTGGAAAAGTAAGAGTATAGTTGGTTTAATAATTTAAAAGCATTAATTTAATCTTTCATGTGGTCCCAAGTCCTTTACACTTTGTTCTGATTGTTATATATATTTTCATTTCTTAGAGGAGTGGTGGAGTATGATGCCGAAGGCTTTACAAAGCTCACCTTGCTGCTGATGTGGAAAGATTTTTGTTTCCTTGTACACAGTAAGTATCATTTTGCCACTAGCAAAAAAAAAAAAAGGACTAATAGCATGTATACTAACAGGTTTGAAAATACTTAGCTGTTTCTGTTCATTCTAGTGGCTATGAATTTTTGATGGTACCCCGCAAAAGACAAATACACTTACAGACAGATTGCTGTCTCAAGGTTAGACTGTTAACCTTCCATTGTCAGGCTGTATAGCTTAAGTGCTACTTCTGTGATTCACAGTTTGGGGATCAGATGGTATGTGTGTGTGTGTGTTGTGATCAGATATATTTGTCTTTGTCCTTATCATATATGCTGATCCAGATTTTTTTCCTTAGATGAGTTATTCCCTCTTTATGTAATTCCTTAGGGTATAAGAAATGGTAAATAATCAGGTTGATCCTTCTTGTCTAGATCTATAAGAGAAAGGAAAAGTAACTAAAGTTTTTATTTTGAAGTTATACACTAGAGTTGGGCCATTCTTCAGGCCAAATACGTGCTCTGTCTCTCCCAATCATAGGCAAAGGGAGCTTGTTGTATTTTTTAGGGTAAGCTGTGAAATTGTGATACTGAGCTAGACCAATGGTATCAAATTCAAATAGAAACAGATCCCTGCAAGCTGCTTATTGACTTAGAAAACCACAAATTAACATCTTATAGGTTGTATTGTATTTTCATGTATTCTGTTAAACATTTCCCAATTACATTTTAATCTGATTTGCTGGCACTAGGGAATTTAAGGACCATGAAGGCTGTGAGGGCTGGAAGGGATGAATTTTACACCTTTGAACTAGACAGCCTAGAACAGTGAAAAGAGCCACAGGACTTTAAAGCCCAGAAATGAGATCTTGAATCCTTCCTCAAGGGCTTATGAGATAGATGATGTCTATAAAGCTCTTTGCAGACCCGACAGTTATAGAAATGTCATGATTAGCTGTATGACATTAGGTAAGTCAAAGAAACATAGACTTTTCGAGCTCCTAGAAGTCTTTTAGCCCAACCCTTTCATTTCACAGATAAAGAAATAAAGGCCCAGAAAGGTTGAATAACTTCCCTGCGTCCCACAATTAGTCATTGTAATTCTTGATGGGAAAGCTGGAGCTTAAACTCATCCCTTTGCTACTAGATCTTTCTACTTGACCATGCTATCTCCCTGGCTGTGACTCCTAAGGTATCTGTATGACTTAACCTTTCTGCATCTGAACTTAGTTTGAAATTCTGCCTCTGCCGCTGTCATCTTGGGCAAATCAACTTCTGTCAGCATTAGCTCTTCATCTGTAAACCAAGAGGGTTTAGTCTAGATAATCTCTAGAAAGTCCCTTCTGCAATTAAATCTTCTTATTCTAAATTCATACAGTTGTAGGAAAGTGCTTTATAAACTCTAAAATGTTAAATAAATGAGATATTTTTAACATTCATTTTTCCGAAGGCAGTACAGACACCATTTATCCTATATATATGCTTTGGAAAATGATTTTTACAATTTCCCCCTTCTACCTTAAGTTATATTTTGCTTAGTCTGAATTAGTTATGAAATTAATTTGTTCCCCAAAGTGGATAGTAGGGAAGGAATCCCAGATGTGTGCTAGGTAGCTAAAGGAAACTAGCTTGTAATTTTAAATTTCACCAGAATAATCTTTATGAAGATAATTGAAAGTCAGTGTTACTTTTGAAAAATTAGAACTCCTTTCCTTTCCATTGTTATTTCAAACATCATTACTGAACTGCTTTATAATAGTCTTCTGTTAATAAGTAAATACTTTGCAGACACTCCATGAATTAGAATTATCTTTTCAGTTATATCTAAAAAAAAGTAAACATAACATTTTATTCTCATTATGTAAACTGATGACTTTTTGCAGGAGGGCAGTGAACTGGATTGCCTTTAGAAAATTATTTTTTCCTTCCTACCTCCCCCAATTCTTCATCCTCATTAATAAAGAAGGAAAAACAGCCTCTGTTGGAAACATGAAGAGTCAAGCAAAACAAATTCTAGTATTAGTCATGCCTGGCTCCCCAAAAAAATCTGTTTCAATCAGCACTCTGTATCTGTCACTTCTTTGTCATAAAAGTGAGTAATATGTTTCATCATGAGTCTTCTGTAATCATGGTTGGTCATTGAACTGATCACACAGTTCCCAAGTCTTTTTTTTTTTTTCAAAAAATGTTTTATTTACTTTATTTTTAATTTATGGAATAAAACAAGCATTTCATTAACATAGTATAACAAAAAAAGATGATTACCAAAAAAAATAAAATTGTATAGCTCTTTTTATTACCCTACAGTTTACTCAGAAGCAAAGATCTAGCTTTTTTTTATTGTTCTTCCTTTTATGTTGTTTGGTTGCGGGTGATGAAGTCAGTAGTCTCTAAAGAACTGAAGCTGAGGGCAATGGAGGAAATAGGTGTGAATAGGCTACAACACAATACAAATGAGGAATTACTTAGAAGGAGCAGCATAAAAGATGACATCAGAGAAACGGATGGCCAGGAAAAAAGATGGATCAATCACATAGTGATAGGGAAAAATAATTGTTAAACAGACTTTATGCTCCTTTGGTTTCTGTTTAATGTCAAGAGAATTCAAGGAAGGCTCTCAGAATGTTGAGTGGACTCCTGTGATGGATTTATGAGAGGACATAGATGTACGTCATGTAGCATAGACAAAAATGGATTAATTATGATCATGTTACTGTAGAGAGTACCCACATCAGTGAGCACATAGATAATTTGAAATTTATTGAATAATAAGCAATGGGCTAGAAAGTAAAATCCCAGAGATTTTTTTTAATATTTTATATTTTAATATATTTACATATATTTAATATTTTATTTTTCCTAATTACATATAAAAACCATTTTAATGTTCTTTTTAAAAGTTTTGATTCCCCAGTTGATAAATGGTCAAAGGATATGAACAGGCAGTTCTCAGATGAAGAAATTAAAGCTATCTATAGTCATATGAAAAAATGCTCTAAATCACTATTAATTAGAGAAATGCAAATCAAAACAACTCTGAGATACCACATCACACCTATCAGATTGGCCAAGATGACAAAACAGGAAAATGATAAATGTTGTAGAAGATGTGGGAAAATTGGAACACTAATGCATTGTTGGTGAAGTTGTGAAATGATCCAAACATTTTAGAGAGTAATTTGGAACTGCGCCCAAAGGGCTATAAAAATGTGCATACCCTTTGACCCAGCAATAGCACTTCTAGGGCTATATCCCAGAGAGATCATACAAATGGGAAAAGGACTCACATGTACAAAAAATATTTATAGCAGCTTTTTGGTGGCAAAGAATTGGAAATTGAGAGGATGCTCATCAGTTGGGGAATGGCTGAACAAGTTGTGGTATATGAATGTAATGGAATACTATTGAGCTATAGGAAATGATGAACAGGCTGACTTCAAAAAAACCTGGAAAGACTTGTATGGTCTGATGCTGAGTGAAGTGAGCAGAACCAGGAGAACATTGTACACAATAACAGCCACATTGTGTGATGACTAATATTGAGAAACTTAACCCTTCTCAGCAATACAAGAATCTAAGACATCTCCAAAGGCCTCATGATGGAAAATGCTGTCCACACAGAAGAAAGAACTATGGAGTTTGAATGCAGATGGAAGCATACTGTTTGCTGTTTTTTATCTTCTGTTGTATTTTGTTTCCTCTTTCTGGTGGTTCCTCCTATTCTTACTTACAACATCATTAATGTGAAAATATGTTTAATAGGAATGTACATGTATACCCTATATCAGATTGTGTGCTGTCTTGAGGAGGAAGGTGTGGAGGGAGGGGGAGAAAAATTTAAAACTCAAAAACTTATGGAAGTGATTGTTGACAATTCAAAATAAATTAGTAAACAAAATTTTGTTTTGAGTTCCCAATTCTCTCCATCCCTCCCTAGCCTCCTGTCTCTCTGAGACAGTAAGCAATTTGATATAGGCTATACATGTGTAATCATGAAAAAATATTTCCATATTAGTTGTGTTGTGAGAGAAAGCACAAGCCCCCCCTCCCCCAAAAAAAGAAGCTGCAAAAAAAAAAAAGGTGAAAAATGGTATGCTTGGATCTGCATCCAGACTTCACCAGTTCTTTCTCTGGAGGTGGATAACATTTTTCATCATGAGTCTTTTGGAACTGTCTTGGATCATTGTATTGCTGAGAATAGCTAAGTCATTCATGGTTGATCATTGTAAAATATTACTGTTATTCTGTTATTGTGTACAATATTCTCCTGGTTCTTCTCACTTCACTTTACATCAGTTCATATAATTCTTTCCAGGTTTTTCTGAAATCATCCTGCTCATCATTTCATATAGTACAATAGTATTTCATCACAATCATATACCACAACTTATTCAGCCATTCCCTAATTAGTGGCCATCCCCTCAATTAATTTTTTGCCACAACAAAAAGAGCTGGTTATGAATATATTTATAGAAATAGGCTCTTTTTTCTCTGTCCTTCTCTCTCTCTCTTTTTTAATCTCTTTGGGATACAGACCTAGTAGTGATATTGCTGCATCAAAAGGTATGCACAGTTTTTATAAGTCCTTTGGGCATAGTTCCAAATTGCTCTCCAGAATGGTTGGATCAGTTCGCAATTCCACCAGCAGTGCATTAGTGTCCCAATTTTCCCACATCCTCTCCACATTTAGCATTTTCCTTCTCTGTCATATTAAGTGACCTAAGGTAGTACCTCAGAGTTTTTTTTAATTTGCATTTCTCTAATCAATAGTAATTTAGAACATTGTTTTCATAACTCTATAGATAGCTTTGATTTCTTCATCTGAAAACTACCCATTCATATCCTTTGACCAATTATCAATTGGGGAATCACTTATATTCTTATAAATTTGACTTTATTCTCCATATTCTTGAGAAATGAAGCATTTGTGAGAGATGCTGTAAAGATTATTTCCCACTTTTCTGCTTTCCTTCTAATCTTGGTTACATTGGTTTTCTTTGTACAAAATCTTTTTAATTTAATATAATCAAAATTATCC